TTTCTTCTCAGCTTTGACATTTCTCTGTTTGACCATGAGTCTAGAAGACCCACACAGAAAAAATCTTTTACACTGAGAGTGTGAAAAAACATTTCTTGTTGATTCTTGAAAATACCTTCTCACCTGAAGTCTCCAGGTTCTTTCCAGCAATGGGTGACTTTAAACTCTAACAACAACCACTGCAGGGCTGAATGTCTGCACTCTGGGCTCAGAAACAGGCCCGTTAGCACATCCAGCAGGTGGAAACTGTACAAATGTGCAACCATTTAGGAGAAAGTTCCTCAGTGAGTCCATCTTATCTGTTTTTTGTCTTTACAGTGGAGATCAAACATCCACTCATATCACCAGACACTTGTGTGGAAGCCATGTCTGGAAAGGAGCACAGGACTTGAGTTTCCTCCAGGCTAAAGGATAAGACCAGTCATTTTCTATATTAATAGCATACACCCCCCGTACAGAGATTAAAACCAACAAATTGCCTCTACTCATGGTTAATATTTGTCAGTCTCCAACCTGGTTCAGCATGTTCATCTGTACCATCTGTCGTTCAAAATGATTAAAAACACACCAGTGAAACACGCTTCAGTTGGAATGACTCCAAATTACAATTGTAATAACTGAAAAACTAACGTTAGCATGCTAATGATGCCGACGTATACCCGTTAGCCAGCTACAGTATTTACACTTCTAGTAGGAAGAAAGCCACATCTAAACTTCTAGACAATTTTTACTTGATTTATCCAAATTTCTGCTAAATCGTAGTTAATGCAGGCTTAACATCTCTTTGTGGTTGTTTGTTCTGTATTTTTGTGATTGACATTTGAGCAACATATGTTAATAGTGACTTCAAACAGGAGCCCCTGGGCGTGAACTCGATAGGCCCGCCCAGGAATCCATACATGCTCTCCATGCATTATCCCCTCTATACCCTCTGTGCAATGTCTTGGTGTTCACACTGAGCAGACAGACATCCGGTGTGGGTGCATTGAGCAGAAAGCAGCAGCCTGAGTGTGTTGTCAGCAGCAGCGTGAGCAGAGCCCGACTCTCTGTGGATGCACCACAGCCAGATCAGCTCTCTAAACTGTGGAGACGCCTGATGCCAAACAGATCAATGATGGTTCTTTTCTGGCCAGGCGGACGCTCCTTCTGGAGAACCAAGTCCTCCATCACAACATATTGAGGGCAGCAAACCACCACCCATCACCCTTCTCCCATCCTCCCCCACAGACAGGCAGACAAAGGCTGGCAGAGGAAACATTGCTGCTCATCAGAAAAGACAGGATCTCTGTTATGAAAGAAGTTCAGATGCTGCAACTGTCACCAAAACGTCCCATCACAACCAGTTTATCAAGAAATGAATCATGTTTCTCAAACAGGATCACACAAGTAAATCCAGCACTATCCTGCAGTTTTCCACAAGCGGGGGAATTTGGGTTCATATCAGAGCTAAAGTGGGATTATGGCTGGTTTTAAAGTAAAGTCATCATATCAGCTTCACCTACATTGTTTAGGTTAATGTTCACCAGATTACAGACAAACCTGTTCTGTGTTCCTAAATACGCGTTTGTCCGTCTCCTTCCTCTCTAGACTGGTTTGCATTTTGCCTCCTTGGATCAACAGTCTTATCTTAGATGAATTACCTGGTAGAAAGTTTGTATAGTAACAAATAAATAAGAAAGGTTTGAATGTAAAAGTCTTTTTCAGGATATAAAATAGAAACTAATGGCTGTAACAGTGCACCAACATGTTGCAGCATTCATACAGCACTGTTACCGTGGAGTGTTATAAATAATTCCATTCTTGATGCTTTTGCACTGTTGAAGTTATACTCCATTACAGTAAAGGGAATACAAGAGCAAGTGTAAAGGAAGAAAAGCCTCTTTTCTTTGCCGTGGACACCAGAGGAGGAGAAAAACAGGAAAGGCAGAAATAAAGTGAAATTGCCCTTTAATTAACCACCTGTAGTGCCAGTGAGCTGCTGCTGACGGCGCCGACAGTGTGTTTACCTGCTGATTGCACTGACAGGGGTGAAGTGTGTGTGGTGTTTTCAAGGGGAGAAGAGGAAGGATTTTACAGCATAAAATTATTAAACAAGTGTCATGTCTGCTGTCCTCTATTGCCTGTTTGTCATAACGACCAGCAGCTGCAGCTCCGATAGTTTACCTCCTTTATTTTGCTCCATCACTGCTGACACAATATTATTATCTGGTCACTGTGATGGATTTTCAGCTGCAGCTCAACAAACTCTGACACGGCACTTTATTTTTACTTTGTTGTTATTTGAATCCTTTTTATGAATGTAGCTTATATACCACAAAACTCAGCTGCTAGACCTTCAAGCACATTGCTTATTTAATGTATGTGTACACCACCATAAATGTCAGTTTTAGGGACAAGGTTTGCTTACAAACTACTTTTTGTGAGTAATTTATTTCATTCCCACTATCATTTCTAATTATGCTACAAATTTAATTTAGAGCTCAACTGGCAAAAGATAAGCAGTTATATAAGCTACACATGCAGGTGTTTCTTATTCTGAAACTGAGAAATTACACAAATGCATGAAATTCCTGTTTACATGTGTGTATTTCACAAATGATTTAACATGTGAGCTGTGGTCATTTTGTGTCTCCTTGTAGTCGGTTTGCATTTCTAGGTGGTTGCTTTGTCTCTTTCTAGTCCTTCTGGGACTCTAAGTCATTTGGAAACTCACATGCGTCTCTTTGTTGTTGCTTTTTGCCTCCATATGGTCAAATTGCATCAACTTCACTGACATTTTGCAGTTGTCATCAGTTGAAAGCATCGCTTTTATTCATACCGGGATATTTCTCCACTGTTGTACTTCTACAAAAAGGCTCTGAGGAGTCATTCCACTACTGTTTACAATAAGTCTGATGAGCATTTCTGGTCATAAAATTTTGTGTAATGACCTCGTTTAAAGTGACAAAGAACTGCGTAACTGTTTAAAATACCTCCTGTGTGCGTGTTTACCAGCTAAAACAGTTTGCTACCATACTGGATACACACTGAGCTTAGCTAATAATACACTCACATACTTAGAACACACCAGGCCTTGTTTAGCCATCCAGTCAGCAAACACAGTGACAACACAGATACAGGCCGAGCACACACAGTCAGTATGGAGCAGACAGAGGCTGCGGGTGTGTGTTGACAGATTTATACTGCACCTCATTATATGTGCAGTTGGTTTCTGTGTCACATGGAGCGGCCTGTTGGCTGCTGATCCTCCGTCTCTCTGACTTCTGTTTGGAGACTCTCAGAGAGGTTTTGATGCTAATTCGATGGTGAATCTGTGGTCAGATTATCAGCGTCCATTTTCAGCCAGACAAAAATTAGGTTTTGGCTTCTTTTCATTGTGGAAACACAAACTGGAGCTTCAGTTAGTAAAGACTGACAGAAAAATCTAATAATGTGGCTTTATGGACTATTGGTACAGGCCTATATGTCACTTAGCCTGTAATCCCATGTCTTTAAATGTGATCTGTGTTCTGACCAAACTATAACAAGCACTCAGTGTTTTTCACTTCTCTTCATTCCTGTCAGGTTGAACAAGCCAGGCAAAGGTTTAGTTAAGCTAAGAAACTTTCACTAAGCTGCCGTAGCACAACGCTCGGTTCAGCTTAACTCAGTGAAGTAACTAAAAGACTTTATTTAAATGTTTGCTAACAGATTAGCGTGTCAAACATTTTTGGTTAAATGTTGACTAAGAGCTCAAGTTGGTCACTAACAAATGTTTTCCTCTCAGTTCAGTCAGCTAATAGTTTAGGTTTCAGCCACAGCTATGTTAGTTCATAGCTTTGGTTAGCAATGTCAGAAAATTTTTAAATTAATTTACACCTTTGGTGGGTTTCAGGCCCCTTAGGTTTGGTGTGGCATGACTTTACAGATTATAATATTGCCTTTGTGGGTGTGTATGAAACTTTCAGAAAAGAGAAGAGTTTTAACCACAATGCCAAATTCAGAAATGCTAATAGTTCGTAAAAGCTAATTTAATGAGTTTAATTAACATTTAATAAATCTTTCATACCGCTGATTTCAAGTCTTAATCTCTGAAAATGCCAAACAGGAATTTTACATTGATTTCATTTGATTGTGACAAACAGTTTCCAGTGTACAAACTATAAAACACTGGTATATAAAGAGAAAGCAGTGCTGTGCGGACACAGAACGGCCTCTAATAATATAGCTGTGTCCTGTGAAAAGATGAAGAGCTGCTGTGAGCTGATAAAAAGGAAGTGCTGGCAGCTGATCTGGCCCCGTTGACGCTCCATTGACAGGGAGCAGCGGAGCGCACCGAGACCAGCGGGCTTTTTAAAACAACCAAACCAAAGATCACACCGGGTTTAAGAAAATATTATTATGTCTTGTAATTGGCAGGACTGGACCAGGCGAGGGGGGCTCATCCCAAAGACAAGGATGGAGGGAAGGAAGGAGGCAGGATGGGGGCCAATTGAAACGAAACCACTTTGCACTTTGACAATCGGATTTGGTGAGTTTTCTTAACCCGACAGACCCTCACTGAGCCGCCTGCTTTTACACTCATTAAAACGATTATTTACGAGCCGTCGAGTGTTTTCTTGCTAGTTCACATGAGCCCCCCTCAAACACCATCACCACTACCCTCCCCTCCCAAAACACACAGTCTTCGTTTTCACAGTAAAACTCCCACTTTCTGGTAGTTACATGATATTTCATACTTTTTTGCTGAACTCAACAGTACAACGCAACAAGTAAACAAGATAAGACAAGAAAATGAACAGGGAATGTGCACTAGTCCTTATAAAGGCTGCGTTATGCTGTTGGTGAAGGTTGTAGGGCTATTTACCAGCCGAGAGGAATAGGCCCGTCTGCAGACACGGCTCGGGGCTGAAGAAAGCACCGAACGTAAGTGTTGTAAGTCTATTTATTTAAGTATTCTTAAGTACAAATTTTGAGGTACTTTACTGCAGTAGTTATAATGAATGAGTGAATTAATGGTGTTATCATATGCGAGCATCCCAGTAAATCGATGGCAAAATGGCCGCGTCCTAATATGTCCGAATGATAACCAACCATTGGTACAGAGGGAAGGATTTAAATTTCTAAAAGGAGACGAGTCTTATGTGTAGAACATAATCCGCACATAGAGGAATGAATACACCTTCCGGTGCAGTAGGTGGCGCCATTTAACCTAAGAAGAAGAAGGTCCGAAGTTGTGCTTGCAGCGTTTTCATTCCTGTACTTGGCATTCGACGGGAAAATGTACGTACACATTTCGTTAGGTCAGCGTTTTGTAAATATTTGTATGTCGTGTATTTATTTTAACAAGGTCCCGTGTACAGTTCAAAATGTGTTTTGATAGAGAAAGAAGTAGTTAAAGCTATCAGCCGCGGGTTCTGATAGACTTTAGCTAACCTAGGTGTAGGCTAATGCTAGCTAGCTAAAACGTTAGCGTTAGCTGCATTAAGATTACAAGCTTGTCAACCTGGTATTCTTACATTAACCTACAAGGACGAAAAAAAACCTACAAGGACGAAAAAAAACCTACAAGGACGATGAAATCCGCCGTAACACGTTATCTTAATTAGGTTAATTTGTACACAAAATACGACTTTGCTCATTTTTATTTTTTTGTTAATTGTGTAGAAATTCACATTTACTGCAGTTTGTAACTTAGCCTTGCCATTTTCTAAAACTAACATATTTTCTAATGTTATTATTGAGGCGCATTTGGCGCAAAAGTAAATGTGTGAAACGAACTGGATAAAATTCACAGCGACTTCCTGTTAGCAAGGGCTAATGTTAGCGTCTCTAACCCGCCGTGACACACAGGTAGGCTAAACACTCGGTGTTTGATACCAACACCGTTGCCATTTCTGACACTAATATCGTTCTAGAAACAGTTCCTGACTCGCCAAACATGGAAAACAAAGAAAAACCATAAGAATGTGGCTGAAAAGTTCAAAGGAAATGAGCTAAAATGCCAAACCAGAAACGACCACATGGGACAAATTGAGTAGGTCTGTGTCTGTAGAGACTGGAGGTTCTGGCCTGGTGGCAGGAGACCACAGGGATCAGCCCACATAGGTTTAGCATGGTTGTATGAAAATATTATCAGTAGATGACATTTACTTGTGCCTGTTTTGTGTACTATAAGTCATGTTTATTTAACAAATCCATTTGTTTTCTGTTTAATTCATCACACTTAATTCAAACAGTCTCTTTCTCTAAGACCTAAAACTAGGAATATTTTATCACATATCTGTAAAAATCACTATTTATTCAATGCTATAGTATTTTCTAAATAAACGAGTAATAAAACAAATTCTCTAGAAGATTGTGTGTCTGCCCTGTTCTACTATTTAATCTGACATGTTTTGTGTATTAAGGCCCTATTAAGCAGCCAAGTTTACATTGTCACTAATGAGTTTAGTGAACTGTGGACTTCACATTTTCAGTGCAGACAAAAGCCAGTAACTTGTCATATTACTGCTTATTTTTATTCACTGGCTTATTTGTGTTCTTTTTTTGCATGGTCTCCTCATGTCTGATCTTGGTGTGATGTAGAACAGAATCCAGCTCCTTGGGCACCTCCTGTTTTTTTGGTAAGTGCATTTAAGGAACAAACCCTTGATATCGATCTGTGGTCATTCCTTTCAAACACTGTCTAAGTGACAGATCCATAAATCTTCCACCACTAAAGTTACATGTTCGGATTACTCATTTTTCAGTCTTGATCTGGATTCAGACACCTACGTGATCTCATTTTGACATGATTATGATTCTGCCATGTTTGCATTAGCAGGGACATTGGTTACACCAAACCGAGAGCTCCGTTCACTCGCTAAGCTGCAGAATGTGTTACATCACTTGATGAGCTATACACAGGAATAGAAGACTGATTCAAAACGAATCCAATATGTAGAGACCACGACAGTCAGAGGTATACAGTCTGCAAGCAGCTCCCAACGGTAACCCAACAAACTTGTACAACAGCTTCAATCATCACCACAAAAACAGTATGATGAAGTTTGAATACAAAGTAAAAAACACCTTAAAAAAAAAAATCCAGGGACCAAGGGCAGGTCTTACCATTTCACATTTGGAGGAGGGAAAGCTAATGTGCATAGCTACAGACAGTGGATCGAGTGTTATGAAAGTGGCCTCCCTGAATACTTGGAAGAGGATTCAGTGTTTGGGCCACAGGTGAGCTGTATATACAGTATGTAATGTTGATAAGAGCATTTCATTGGTTGAAAATCGTGGTTCAATTCTACCTGGAAAAAAAAAAAAGAAGATTCATATTTTACCCAGAATTGTGCAGCTTCTAACTTTTAATTGAAGCTGCAGTTTCCTACAGAATTACATTCTGATTATTATAATAATTGGTTGCCACTAGGGTTGAAAAGGGGCAGAAAGTTTTCGGTAAATTTCCAGAAACTTTACTTGGGAATTTTGGAAATATTCCAAGTTGGCAACTTTCAGTGGGAATTTATGGAATTTATTAATTTGAAATTTTGGGCCATTTATACGTTTATAAGTATAATATACAAACATGCTTGGTCATAAGGAGACGTGCATGGAAACTCAGTTTAACAACTGAATTTTTTGACTTGGATTTATCTCTGAGTACAACTTTAATATTCTCTGTCATTGAACAACAAAAAGTATGAATGTTGAATAAAATAAACATAGTCCCTATGATTCCCCCCACCCCAGTGGAAAATTCTATTCAAAAATGTAAAATGAAATATACCCCACCCCCCTAAAATGTCCTATTAAAAATGTAGAATGAAAGCATTTTTTTCAAGCCTCTGGTTTCGGCGTTTTCCTCACAGGCCGTGTCTCTTTTTCCTGGACCTCATCAACATCCTCCATGTCCACTTCCTACCAGGCTACTGTATAAAGACACATTTTGATTTAGTGTTTGCCAGTTAAACTCTAATAGCCTAAATCAAATATATTCACCCTAGTAATAGCATCAGACTTGACTGGATGTGGTCCTTGGGCTCAAATGCAGCAGTGTGGATTCAGTAGTGCTGTGGTGGCCGGATTCTACAAGTTACTTTTACATGTGATTGAGAAATGCACAGGGGAGAAACTCCACTGAATTTGCATTGTCTGATTGTTTTAACCAAGATTATGCTGCAAGATGTGCTTTTTTTTCCTCTCAACTACCTTGAAGTTCCCTGTTTAGGCTGCTCAGCAGTTTTGCAAACTTCCAGTTTATTCCCAAATATTCCTGATAATTCCCATGGAATAGTTTCCAACACTGAAAATTCCTGGAATTTTGCAATCCTAGCTGTTGTGTGTTTATGTGTGTGTGAGAGAAACGGAGCGGGGCACGGAGGGACTGAGCAAACACATGCGCTACAGACGCCACTACACAGAAGTAAGATCTAACCTATTTGAAATCAGTTGGTGTTGATTTGTCGTGGTTCGCCACAGATAAATCGGTGTATGAGAAACAGTGATGTGACCTTCTGACCTCCTTTCCACAAACTGAACATAAAAAAAGTAGCAGGGGCATCATCTGTGCTAATTTCACCATCACACTCCAACGTGCCGGCTGCTGCTCTCATTCTTTTATGTATCGATATCATGAGACTGCTTTCATCTCAATGAGAAATATCGTCTATCCAAAAGGAAATCCAGCACTGCCTGTTTTTAGCTCTGCCTTGGCTCCCACCACATTTCTGTTCTACTTTATCCACCAGCTCGTCTCAGACTGCTGTGTGCTGCTGGAGGCGTGGGTTTTCATGTTACAGCTTCATCATCTGATCAGTTTTAACGAGAAAGTGCGTTTTAAACAGACATGTCAAAAAAATAGTGTACATTCATACTCCTGTTGAAGATGATCTTGATGAATGAGGTCAGAATTCGATTTTCTCCTTTGACAAGATGCACAATAACTTTACACCAGTGACTAAACACAGTGCTCTGTCTTCTTTGTGTAACAGATAGATGCTGAACCCAGTGCACACCATCACTCCCACTTGAGACAACCTCCATGGCACAGTTGGACCGTCGGTTAACCCAGATGATGTGTGTTTTCCAGAAGGTAGGTGTCGTTTCTGGACAGATGCTGGCCCGACATCTCACGAGAGGTGAATATGTGTGTAATTTTGTGTCTAACGGTGATTTTCACTGATTAATCTACAGATGATCCTCTCAATCTATTAGTCTGAAGAGGGTTGGAAAAAGCAGGGCTACCCCAAAGATACTTGTTTATCATGTAGGACACAGATACAAGTCTGTACATTTAAGAGGCTGAAGCCAGCTGACATTTGGCATTTTTGTTTGAAAAACACCTAAAACAAAAGTCAATTCACAAGGGCTTTTTTTTTTTTTGGATCAGTTGAACAGTCGCTGTTACGGCTCTAAAACTCCTTATATGAACCGTGTGTTTCTGAAGAGGCCCATATGAAGTCCTGTTTTGCCTCATAGAAAATAGCCCCAATCATTTTTAAGGTGCAAGAAAATGTCCATTGAGGGAAAAGCAGCACACAAACAAAAGAAGGAAGCTTATGACAGTACAGGTTCAGTTCCCAGGTGGGGAAAGTCAAAGAGCAGACCCTCCCATGAGCCAGCGGGCAGCTCAGTGGGCAGCTGGCTGCCCATGTCCCCGTGGTTCTCAGTATAATTACCTGAGCTTTCACCCTGCATTTTCATACCTTTGACATTTTATGGATCAAGACGCACTTTTCTAACAGTCACTGGTTATGAGGGAAAGCCTTTACTGTATGTATGAACAATGAGTTTTTATGCTACCACATTTCCTGCAGCTTATATTTTTGTGCTTGTTTTTGTATTTTGGACAGTTTTGACCACTGGGATCCTTTTACACGGGCTACAAGCGGCATCACAGCACGGGCCCCTCATTCAGGAGTATATGGTAAGTCTGCAGCTGCATATTCCAGTCACACACACACACACACACAGAGGCTTCTGATATTATAGAATGTTTTAAGATTGTCACTGGCCCTCTAGTTATTAAAAGCCAAGTCCAGACTTTTCCAGTGCAGCAGGATGTTTCAGAAAGGTTAGGTAACGTTTTAGTGTAGTTTATTTTATGTGTGTGTCTTGTAAATGCTGCCTTTTCTGTTTCGTCACCATTGGGACTAATTTCAGTCTCTAAACAATACAGCAGGTAGTGGAGTGCATGTTATTGTGCAGTATTATATTTATCTGGATAATTACTTTTTCTTCGCATGTTATTGTGCAGTATTATATTTATTTATCTGGATAGTTACTTTTTCTTGAACAGAGATGAGGAAAAATGTTAGACCACAGTGATTGAACAGATTTTGGATGCATACAAAAATTGTCAAATCTACTGAGTCTTAGTAAAGATTTCATGTGTGGCTGGAAACGAAGGCACTCCATCTCCACAGTGTTACTAATGGCTGTGTACTTCTCAATCTTTTTAGGTATGCATGAGGATCCTGTGGCTGCTGAAGTTGACATACGCGGCACAGAAATACCACAGGTAACTATTTATTTTTGATCATTCTAATTATAGGTTACATGTGATGCTGCAGCAGCATTTTGTATGGCAGACCGTCCTGGACTCATGTATTCTCCATGCACTGAACCTTGCTGGCTGGACTAAGTGTGGAGGATTACATGTAGTACTATTTATGAATATCTTGTATTTTATGACATGTGTATTCACACCTCTAAAAAAAAAAAATACTGCAAACAGGAAAGTAAGCGTGTTCTACTTTTGGAGCATCTCTGTTTTGAACCATCTGATATTGTGTATATGAAAAAGATTTCATATCTGAGATTCTGCCAGTAATTTAAATAATTTATTTTCATCATATCTTTATTTACAATACTCCACTTAGGCCAAATGTGATAAATTTGGCTTCAGTTACCAAACAGGCTTAACTTGTCCTTTAGATCCTTTCATAGAAAACACCACAGACATGTTCATGTTGTAAGACGTTCATATGTGGTGCCGTTTTATTTGTTGCAGGCATCAAACTCCAGGTTTGTGAGCTGGTCCAAGTGGTTATTTGGCCCATGTAGTACTTCACATCTGCAGGTAGTATGGACATACATCCCCACCAAAAAGCACAGCTCTGAGTGTAACCCCGGCCATGTGTGCGCTTGTTTGAGTCTGCGCTCTCAGATATCTCCACTGGGGTTTGTGAGTCTCAGCACCAAAATGTTTCTGAAAGTGCACAAAAGTTTTGAGGGCTACTCAGTTTGCAAATCAGCATTTGACAGCGCACAGATCTGTACGAGCAGGACCATGAGTGTAACTGATGATTTGAGCGAGCAGCAGGGCTCCTCCTCACACTCAGCCATGATTCTGCTCTTACACATCTGTGCCTGCGCACTCTCAAATGCTGACTTGCGAATTGCACAACACTCAAAATGTGGTTTGTGTGCCTTCAAACTTTTCACACTGACAGACTTTCACACAAACCCCAGTGAAGAAATCTGAGAGAACAGACTTGGAAACAAGTGCACGCATGGCTGAGATTACATACTCAGTCTGTATGCTCTCAAATGCTGAGTTAAACTGAGTACAGCTCAATGTGTTTTGGGGGAGATGCACATGCATAATTTTCTAAGGAAGCCAGGGTAGGACTTCAGACTGCTGCTGACAGAGCTGAGGCAGGCTCCACAAAGACTTCCTGGAACAGGAAGACCATCAACCAGCTGACGTACCCTGGGAAACACCAATACATTTGTTACATAGTTGTATCTATGCTCAACATTCACTGCAAAAAAGTTTTTTCTTTCTATATTGTCTTTATACGTTTTGTAAAGTGTCATGTTCTGAAGCTGTCAACCTGATGTGCAATAGGTAGTGTGTTTTCTCACCGGCCACTTTATTAGGTACAGCTATATGCACTTCAGTGCAACACTTCTGGTTTAACATCTATGTTTATTACTGAGGTCCTAGTTAAAGGTGGTGTTCCTAATATTCTGACCCTCATGTATCTGAGGACAAAAATATAGACACCTCTGAATATGTCATCCAGTACCCCACCACCTTTAACTAGGACCTCAGTAATAAACAGAATTTCAAAATATACACACCACACAAACACAGATGTTAAGACAGAAGTGTTGCATACAACTCTACAGGTGTACCTAATAAAGTGGCTGCTAAGCATGTGTGTGTGTGTGTAAAATAAAGACATTGCACTTACAGTGTCTGCTCGGTCTGGCTATGTGTTCTGCCCTCTGGGCCTCTGAATGGTGGGTCTCCAGTTGTTGTTCGGGGCTGGTCGGTGTTCTCATAACACAGTGCGCCCAGGTACAGTCTGAGTACAGAAAAGAAACAGTTCACCAGCCTCAGCTAAAGAGAGTTTAACAGACAGCCTTGGAATTTTGAATCTGCCATATTTCCTCTAGAAGTGGCTATAGTGACGCTGTAGCTAGCACTAGTTTTGCTTGTCACTGCCTCCGTTGTAGAGATTTGGGGAAACAAGAAGTCATATGTTAAACAGTGTCACCAGGGCAACCGGTTAGTCTCTGAGCTCAGGATGAACATGTCTGTCAGATCATTTCTCTGAGTCAGGAGGAGAACAGATGTCTGGGGTAGCGTTACAGCCAAGTACACAAGTGGACAGCTGGACGACTTAGAGAAGCATGTACAAACAGGTATAACTGGTGACGTCTCAGCTGTCCACTTGGGATCCCATCATCTAAGATGCATTTTAAAACCAAGTCCAAACTGGGCCAGAAACCAGCGTGAGAAATGAACTGTGCTAGCTAACTGAGGACGATCTTTATGGCAGCTTCCTTAAATCTCAACAACGCAGGTAGTGAAATGAGCACTGGCTATAAATAGTCACCACGGTCACTTTAGAGGGAAACAGCAGGTTAAAAGAAGATGTTGTATTTACCTGCACAGCGTTCCAAGAAATAAAAGTAATGGTTTTTGGAGGAGAACAGAGGGTGAGATGGTGAGATGCCTCCAGTGAAGACGTCTGGTGACATGGACTCAGCTTCTCCCCCTCCTTCAGGATTGCCCCATCTGTCAGGACTCCATCCAAATGGAGCTGCTAAAAAATATATATATATATATTATTCAGTGGTAAACATCAGTTACACAAAATTAACAGTAAATAATTGTATTAAAGTAAATGTAAAAATGTAAACAACCAGGGTCCTCCTGTGTGGACGTATGGATTAATAAAAGCTTGTAGATGTAGTTCACAGTGCAACAAGCATCAGTTTACTCCTAAGGCTGCAGACAGATCGTGTATTTAAGGTAGTAACTGCAATGGAGCTGCAGGCCTGGATCCTGTCGCCGACAGACAGACAAACCGCACACACACAAAACTTGGTCACTTTAAAGCCGTTTCACTGTAAAAGTAAATCCCAACTTGACCATGATGTGGCTCGTCTAGTGTATTTTGGTGCCTTCTTGTTCTGATGCCCTAACCAGCAGTTTGCTCACTACTGCCAACTGGTGGTCAGCTCAGTGTCACTGCACCCCAGATTGTTTACTCAAGTAAAAGTAGCAGTACCACAATGAAAATACTCTCAAAATATTACTTAAATAAAAGCATCAAAATATAACCTGAGGTACTAAAAGTACTGATGCAGACCGGCACATTTTTATTAGTGGATTGTAATTATAATTAATTAAATGCATTATCCTGTTTGCTGCAGCTGGTAAAGGTGGAGCTACTTTTAATAACTTTATATACTTACAATTTAAGTACTTTACATACTGCTGGGTAGTACTGAATGTGATGCGATAGTGGCCAGAACATTAGTACTGCATCAATGATATTGGAGAAAAAACATTCTTCTGCATAAATTTCTTGTGTTTCTGCAGATACAGACGCTACAAACAACGTTAGACATAATATAGATATGGCTAAAATGTAAACCTCTTTATTTGACACTGTAGCTGCAGAGACACTGAAAACCACAGGCTCCATGTTCCCTATACGCTGGTTCTGGAGCCGGTTATTACTGCTGCTCTACCCGACTGCCACAACTGTGACCAGATATGATGTAGTTTCAGAGAAAGGGCAGGAGGGATGAAGAGCAATGGAGGGAGAAGAGGAGGGGATACTGCTGGAGTTTGTTTGGACTCCCACTTCGCCCTTAACGGTCGAGGGAGATGTTAGTTAATGCAGCTTTAAATCGAAGCAGTTGTTTTGTTCATAACAGTACAAGCCTTCAGCAGAAACAAATCTGAATCTGTCACAGTCACATACCTCCATACTGTTGTGTCCAAATCTGTTTCCCCATCCAGATGTTTCTCCTAACATTACCCTAACCACACCCACCGAGGACTACGGTTAGGGAACACCCCCATCCAGATGTGTTCCCCATTTAAAAACTCGGTTCCACGTAGCGTCCCCTCGGTGCATGTGGTTTGGGTAACGTTAGGCTTCAGGTTAAGGGAAACAAGTTTCGACAGACCGGACGGAGCCAGGTGACAGAGGCGCTAAGTGCATCCGTGAACAGGGATTTTAACGTCCTCCACGCGGCTGCTCACAAACCGTGACGTCACTGGTGCCAACGCAGCTGGGCGTTAGCAACTCGTTGGTGAAACAATATTCTGTGTACGGCCAACAACAAACACACCTGAGCCGCTTAGCAGAACAAGCCAAGTTACCGCCACCCAACCTTCTGCTCCGATGAAGCTGGCATAGGAAGTTTCACACAAAGTCTCTATTACATTCCGGCTGTTCCTCAATAATAACAGCACAAACACTTGCACCTGCTTCAGCGTGTAACACAAACTAAAGTTAGCCACGTTAGCCGCACAGCATTGCTAGGCTAACGTGGCCTAGCAGCTAATGAGGCCGCAACAGTTCAGGCTACTTCCTTTTAACACAGCAAATAAATGACCTTAAAACATCAGCACTTGAAAAAAAAACGTTAAAATCAACACTTACAGCTTCAGGATATGAAGAAACGTCACGGACGGGTTCAGTCCGTCTTGAGCCTCGGCCTCAGCACCGAGAGGTAACTGTTAGCCCTGGTTAGCCGCTGTCGGTGTTTCCACACACCGTGTCTAAACATATTGTAGTGACCCTTCACTTGGCATGTTATGATGTGGGACCGAGAAGAACCTGCGTGTTCGTTGGTGCAGCCAACGACACAACTGTTTCCGTACTTGGCTCGCACCTGTGCCATGTTAGCATCCTCCTCTCTGTCCAAGGGAAGGAACAACTGCGGACACGAGCGGCGTTTCAACCTGAGCCGGAAGTGGTTATGCGTGACGTCACCTCGTCCACCTACACAGGGGAACAGGTTGTGAGTGGCCCGTTGGACAAAAAGGAAAAAGGATCAGACAGAGTGCACCTGTACTGGACAGCAACGCGAATGTACAACTATGTTCAAACTGTGGATTTTGTGTAGTAGGGGCCCCAGTTATACCTCTGATACCAATAATCATAGATCATAGAGCAAAACGCAGAGTAAATCAGTAGCTTGTAACGAGAAGGGGCGAATCCGGTGAATTTAATGGCCTTTACTTCAGAGAACATCCTAACTGAACATGCATGTGACCCATGCTGTGGCCCTGGCACTCAGATGATGCATGTCTCACCTACAGAGAAATGTTCAGAAACATCTTGCATCCTACAAGGACTTTTTTTATTCAGCCTTAGGAAGAGAAGCAACACAGAAAATCACCAGATTTCGTTAGAGATCAATTTTCCTCATCAAGTAAAACATGCGAGCTTTAAAATGAATTTAATGTTGACCTTTTTTTGTTAACGCATACAGGCCGTCCAAGGAGATGAAATTCTATGTGCTATCAACAAGGACGGCGGAGAGACTAGACATTATGGTGACACTGGCATTTTCAGTGAAGGAGTGATCGTTCCGCACAACACTGGACAATATTTTGTTTAAAGATGTCAGGCCATTCTCGAAAGACTTTGCACTGAGTCATATCACAGAGACTCTTGTTTGGGAGAACAGAGCCAGTGTGTTGTGTTTTGTCTTTGAGCACTAAAATGACAAATGTGTGTGCATTTTAATTTCATAATGTTGTGTTGTTTGCTACAGTGAATTCACTGGTGGTTTATCTTTTATGCCTGGTAACGTTTACAGCTGATGCAAGCTTTTT